GGCCTCCAACAAACCTGAACCAGCACCTATTCAGGTATCTCCCTCCCTTCATAGGGAAAACCTCTCACCACATCAGCCGTCTCCTCAAGCGAGAAGCAGGCATCGAAACCTACTTTACCAGCTCTACACCACTAAAACCCTACTGAAAGCGAATGGCAGGAACACCTCTAAGCGACAACATCAACCCAAAGGTGTTGTCTATAAAATCAACTGTGACTGTGGCGAGGCCTATGTAGGCGAAACCTCCCGGCCCATAAATATCCGAATCAAAGAACACTTATCATCTACCACTAAATCTGATAGAAAATCCGCATTATCAGACCACATCATCAACTGCCCCAATCACAACATAATTTGGGACAATGTGGACATATTATCCAAAAACCACCCATCATTGTTAATTAATCTCATCAGCATGTATATTTTGTTTTTTACATCCATCACCATTGGCTTCCTATTGTCACTACATTATTGCCACCGTGCCTTGTTGTTATTGTTAATCCCCCTCATTCAGTCCTACATGTTGTTATTACTTAATCCCTGTTCATGTATATAAGCCTGTTCTGTGCTGTAGTACTTCACTCTTGCTTGACAACGGTATAAGAATCCATACCGAAACGTCGCATCATATATAATAAAGAAGTTGTTATCCATAAATATTCTTACTTTCTTATTAGTCACCAACTTCTAAATGCCAATCAAACAGATCATACAGCAGGTGTTGCTTATTGTTGATGAAGAGCTTGTTGTTGGTGTCAGCTACGTTAGTCCATTACAGAGAACGATCTGGAGTCGACCCAACATATTGTCGATCACGTGCAGCAGTTGAACGGGCTTGCCGCTCTTTTTTGGGGGGGGAGTGTGCTTGCTCAACGACAAATCTTCAAACCTCTGGGAGCCGAACTCAAACTGAACGATTGCAACGGCACGGTCATGCTATCAAACAATGCGAAAGACAACTTCAGACTCGGCCGACGTCTGGCCAGAACGCTCGGGTTGACATCAAATGAAATACCACCACAAACCACCGTGACGGGTATGAAATTACCCGGGCATTTCATTTGACTCCAGTGTGTTTATATATACAGACATGTGAACCTAATCAGCTTTAAGTATATTAATCAGAGATTGTTGGAAGATTAAGTAAATATTAATTTCTAACTTATATTATATAGAATGGGTTTGTATCCTGCCATGGACAAAGCAGTGAAAACACTCGAATCCATGGACGATTTTGTTTGTGACAAATAACCGACATCAAACGCCAACTGGAAACATGATACACAGGGCACGCTGCACAAAAAAGAACACAGAGCTGTGAATGCTGTCGATGGCGTGGACACAGCGCTCGTAGCAGCCAGCATGGGACTCCGGGCATCTGGGGTTGGCTTATTATCGACTATCATTGCCACACCCATCGCACTTGGGTTAGAAACAGCAGCTGGGGTATCGGGTTCGCGGGAGTAGCTCTTAAATTCATTTCACATCAGCTGCAACATATAGCATTGAAGCACCACGAGATTAGGGTTTTAGCTGAAGCCAAGTTGAACACGATCAAGGATCACATATCAACAGCACTCGCAGACAGCAAGATCACTGAGGAAGATTTCTGTTTGGTGTTAGCAAAACTCGCCAAATACCACAGAATGAAACAAGAGATTCGAAACCAAGTCCCGCAAGACGAGTGACATTGGCGAACAGGAGAAAAAAAGCTCATAGAGCAGGACAGACAAAAAGCCTGTCAAGCATTCTATTCCAAAGCCAAAGAGATCATAGGAGAATAACGCTGAACTGTTTCCTCGATGTCGATTTGGATTCTGCACGATATGAACATTGAATGATGGTACAATATTTTCATACTTTGTAGGGCCTTCAATTCCTGAAAATATTTCTTGAGGACGACTCAGCTGAAACCGCTATCCTCCATACTACTATTCCAGTTTGATGATTAAAATACATAAGTATCTAGAACACCTCAGAGTATTTGCCCTGAAATGGAGTATCTTTACAGTGTGGAGGTTATCATACCAGTAATACCGTTTGTTTTCTGTTAGTAGATATACAGGAATATAAGTTGGAATCATGTCCAAAGATTATCTTGTTTATTATAACGCAAAACATTACATTGTTTCAGACTATCACAAAGTTTCAATCAGTTGTATTATCCAGCTTTGTGTTTCCCTTACAAATATGTTCTCTGCCTTTTCAGTAATACGTTCATATTCTGAGAAAAAAGTGTAAGTGTTTTATTCATGTTTCCGTTATACCAGCTATATCAAAAGATCAAAAAACAATTAAGGCACTTAACCCCAGTCAATTTGGGTGACATCTCAGAATTGTTCTGAAACATAAATTTCCCATATCTGTCACAATTCGCATTTGTGTAATCCTCTTTATCAGGGCATTCATCATATGATGATGCGTCGTATAATCACCATGTAACATCGACCTCAGTTGTCATTCTGATCTCAATCACTTGCCGGTGTCAGCACACCTTGTCCTGTTGTCTTTCCTCACACATTGTCTTCCCTTTAATCTTGTACAAGTGTGTAGTAAAATCTGCTATTGGTTTTAGTACGTGGTGTATACTCATCTGGTCTCTCGTGATTGTCAGATCATTGTCTATCCCAACTCAGTGCTGTTTAAGTATACCACTCAGACATCTGAGTGAGTGAGTGAGTGAATATGGTTTTATGCCTCTTTTAGAAACATACCAGCAATATCACGGTGGTAACACAAAAAAATGGGCTTCACATATTGTATCCATGTGGGAAATTGAACCTTCGGCATGACGAGCGAACGCTTTATTCACTAAACTACCCCACCACCCCTCAGACATCTGAGGATCAGGTTTCGATCATATCACAAATTTGTGAAATAATTTAATACTAAATTATTCCGGTAGACAATGAATGGGTAGCCCTAATAGGACCTCAGTTCAGGATGAATGGACAGACGCATGTAACCATGAGCACGCTATGTGTGGATGTGTCGTGACAGAATCCTTGCACATCACTATAACAGCACATCAACATTTTGTACTGCATCAACGAAATGGACGTATGCCCCTTCAACGTTAAAGATAATACTTTTTAGGGATCATTTCTATAGTATGCATTGCCACAACTCAGATAAAACTGACAGTCGACAAACCACAAGGACGACCAAATTACGAAGATGCCTAGGCATGTTTGAAACTTGGTCAACATCTTTAGTGTCAAAGTGTGATCAGCAGGTAGAGCATAGAATCCATACCTGGCGTTGGGATCAGCATCCCATTGACACACAGGTAGTCACTAGCTTTCCACTACAGTGTAGAATGACAGTGATTTCTCGTGACTGCAGATATACGACACTTCTCCTTGACTGCCCCTTCAGTCAGATATGACTATGGAACGCCAATGGCATTCACATTTCTCCCCAGACAGTACTTTATTGTCTCTATGAGGCTGGTCAACAGTCCACTGAATCTCAATGAACCAGTGTCACAGGCAGGAACGTTTGGATTGAGCTGAAGATCACGTCATTTGGAGAGACCAAGAATGGGTCCCAGTACCTTTCACTAGTGAATCGCGATATTGTCTGGATTTCACAGATCGTCCTGAGCGGGTGTGGCAAAGACGAGTATAAGATCAGAATTTCAGCTTAGACAAACATGACACCTATGGTTTGGACGCACACTCGTGAGGGACCATTAGGGCTGGAAGAAGCGATCTCTGTATGGGGCATGGCGGTGTGCTACAGGGATGACCCTCTGGATGTGTACGTGAGACAATATTTTCGTGCAATCCAATTTGACCTCCTCCCCAAACAATGACGCACAGTTTCAGTGTCTCAGGGTTGGTGATGCCTACTTAGAACAGGAGACAATTGTCCGTGCATGGAGTGCATTGTACTGAACACATGGGGATCGCCCATTGCTGATCGCCGGCTCACAGTGAATGCATTGTCTATCAACAAACTCTATAGGAAATCGCCATGCTAAGAGTTGAATTTGTTTTTAAGGAATTTGTTTTTGCGATGTTTTAACATTTTAATTGTTTCATACCCTTTCATTTTGACGGGTGCTGTGGCTGATTATTGCTGACATGTTGGCACTGTATAGCATATAACAACAGACATGTTCATTAAATTGTCTTTGGCTATTTCACTAACTGTTCACGCTTTGTGCTCGTCACTGGGGCAAATGTCCCTTGATATGCCATTGTCTCTCCCAGTGTCACTTTCGTTAACTCGCCACTTTTAAATTAGAAGTTCTACAACAGATTCTCTGTGCTCTTTCAATATCTCCTGTCACAAGTTTGGCAATAGTTTAGCATTTGATTGACAATCAGAGAAACCAGACAATCCAGAGACATCTTGGCCATCACTCTATCACTTCACACAAAATGGGATAGAATGACATGCATTGAGGGTCGGTGGGGTAGCCTAGTGGTTAAAGCGTTGGACTAGACCCTGGTTCGATTCCCCACATGGGCACAATGTGTGAAGCCCATTTCTATCTGATAACCTATTTGCCAAAAAGTTAAATATTCAATTATATTCAAACACATGCATAAACTAAACTGAAAGTTTGATAGTGACTGTTACCTTAATATTTGACGAGAACTTAACAAGAAAATATAGTTTTCTTACAATTTGAACTTTACATCCTGATTTTAAGTGAGCAAAGAAAATTGTCAGCGATGTCTTTGGCACTGACGCTTTGACATAAGTAATAACGATAGGTTATTGTTGCATTTGTGTGCTGCAGAAAATCTTCTCCTTATATGTAAAACAAAATAATTTCAAGAATTATGTCATTTAATACAATCAAAACCAACACAAAGTAAGGAAACAATGACAATGAATCTCAAGAGCACACACTGGTCGTATCAAGACAGTCTTTAAACGAGTGAACAAAACAAGATGTAAGGTTCATGTAGTCCGGTTTGGTGACTTCATACTCTGTTTATTCACTCAATCAGTTCTCAACATAAATTTGTGTATATTTAATTTACCTGTAACGTTTAACGTCCCTTTCTTCTTCACGCGGACACTGGTGCTTCGCAGGTTCACAATACACTTGTAATCCCCGTCGTCGCCTCTAGTCACATTTGTTAGATTGAATCCAATTTTGTCTTCCTCTAACAGCACAAAACGGGGATTTGTAACTGCCGTTGATACGGAGGGAGTCCTATAGAGAGAAGAAAGTTATCTCACCAGGTGAAGACACCAGAATTAGTCACACTAGGAAATACTTGCACTGACTTAGCTACAGTCAGTCAGTCAGATGATGATAATTAACATTTACAGGTGCCAACTTTGTATCGATTGTTATCGAATTAAGAGGTCTTGACAATGCAGTATAAACAGTGTGGGATTCACGCATAAATGATAATGCAACTCGGAAGGTATATGCTTATGAGAAAACGAAACTTACACTATAAGAAGATGAATTCAGTAGACGCGTATTGCAGAGCCGTAATTTTCCGTAAAGGAATAGCCACTGGAAATCTTGTGGAAGCACATGACAAGCATATACAAACTGTCTGACTCAGTTTTAGGCAAAGGCCTACACAGCCAATAACGACACTGTGAATGGGTTTTAGTGGTTCAGCTGGTATTTTCTGGTTTGGTTTGCCAACCACTTGGCTTACATGCCAGGTTTTGCCAAATTCAGCCAAATCGTGACGCAAATTAGGGACAAAATGTTGTCACAAGTTCTGTTCAGACCCAAATTTCCTGCCAAAGGAGTTTCATGTGACAAACTCAAAACATGTTTTGGAAGAACAGTCTGATGAACAACCCTCCATTCATTATCAGCAGGCACACCTGTCGACCTCCATTTCCCCATCAAAACACTATCCTTGAAATAATAGCAAACTGGAACCTTGTCAGCATCTACTAAAGAAACTGTCCTATTAGCAAGAACTTTGATTTCCTAATCTTCTCAGTGTAACTTAACTAACTGCTATTTGTCAAGAATTGGTTCCTCAACAGCCAATTCGTCAGAATTTGGAGTAGCTAAACAACCCTGCCAAATCATTCCCAATAAGTAAATCCACACCTTTGTTTTGGGAGAGTTTCTACAAATTGTTGTAAATCCACATAAAACCCGCCACAAAACCTCAGAATGTTTTTTGTTGCTGCCCTTAGTTTGATAAGTTATTATGTAATCAAGTTTGAAACTGGGTGCCAGAATTATCAACCACAACCATTGTGAGGTCAGCTGCTTCTATGCCACCATTAGAATAAAACATTCCAGACGTAAAGTTATAACTTAGTGCCTCTGAGTATGTAATGTGTTTGCCACACTCCCGGGAATTACAAATAGATACTCTATCTACCTGCTTCAACTGCTTCACACTATTGATAACTCAATGGGTCAGCCTAGCATTACTCCCTGTGATATACAGATGGTGCGCCAAGCTTTCCTTTTAAATCCAAGAGATTCGGTACTGGATTAACCGACTTGGTATCGTACCCCTATGATACATGTGAATGACACCAAATAATGTCGTCTGCGTTCATGCCTTATTCATTCCCGGTCGGACAAAGTGAACCGCCATTGTCTGTACCACAAGTAAATTCTGGGGTTAAGTCCCATCCGGGCTTTGACCCCAGACCCTTAGATACATTATCGCCTGCACACAAGTTCTCCAAGATACATTTGTAAATCCAGTTTCATGCAGATGTGGCATATTGTATTTAATTTCAAAGTCAACAGCCTGACGCGCATGATTGAAGATTACCCCAGTCACACATGCATCATGTACATGTCAGAGGAAAGCCGGGGGCCATGTTGGTTCCTCACGTTTGCAATCACGTGGTGATTCCACGAGTGTAGTCCTGACAAACAACGAAATTTAATCTCGCCAACTGGGATTCGAACACGACCAAGGGACGCAACTCTGCACAGCAAATTGTGTAGTAGATTGTTTCTCGGTTTACTGCGGCGAACTATGGACTTGAATATACTATCGATTTTTTCTCAGCGTGTCATAGCCCCAATTTATTGAAATAGTGTGTCCATTATGAATGAGGTGAAACAAACATGCACAAATCAGCTGAATGAAACGGTACATGATGAGTATCTTGCAACCCAGGGTACCATGTCTGCAAATGGGATATTTCATTACCTGTGAAAGAGGATCTTCAAATGCCTTTGCTATTAGTGTCTTTCCAAAATACCACTCAACTGCATAGAAGGGAGGGACTTTGTAATCCCACTGAAAAGAAGCAGTTTCACCTTTGCATGTTTCCACCAGTACCTCTGCAAATACAAGTCGCATGGATATATTATGTCCGTTTCGTTCGGGTTACCTTAACTTAGATCAGTTTGTGTTTTTGAATATGCTGTGAGTGGCGGGCGACTGACATGAATCTGAATTAGTGTGAGTGAAGAGAGTTATTGTTTACAAATGTCAGAGCAATGCACTTGGTCTAATGGGAATAACTACATTTTCCCATATTCAATAAATAACCTGCTGTGCGTGATATAAAAAGGGTTATTAAAGATGAGCTGTGGCATGTCATTAATTTGCCATAGGATAATTAAAATAAACAAATACAACAGCACTACTGATATACGAAGCAGGCTAGCTATTCTCGAAACGTTCGTAGCCCTACGAACTTCTTAAGCCCATTCTTAACACATTGGCTACGATCAAAGTTAAGAATTCTTAGGGCTACGAACGTTTCGAGAATAAGGGCCCAGGATGTATACAATTTAACACAATGGACTGAAGATACACTCGTGTAACTAATCTTGTACAATCAGGCAGCATTTTGCAACATAAAGGCAATTTTCTGCTGTATCTTTGGTTCCATCATTACCCTTATGCTGAAATATGTAATACATTTCAACGATATATAATGTGTTTCAACAGCACAAACCTATGATCCTTTTTAATGACAACCCATGCAAAAATTCTGACTAGTATACGTTACAACATACCGTTATGTGTACATGATGTAAACAGAGGCAGCAACAATAGTATCCACCCTGCAACACAACAATCCAAGCAAGGATATAAGACTGTCAATCACAAAACATTTTGTTAGGTTGTTAATGCAAATAATTGCAAAGTCATATTTCATAGCATACAAAACCCTGGGAAATTACCGAAAACTTTAAAAGCTTTATGATTATAAGCAGTTTATCATTGCTCGAAAAGGCTAATCTCACATTAGACTTCGAACTTCGATGGCACAAATGATTGATGTTGATGCGGATACTGGACTAGGAAAATAAAGGTCCCGAATACATCAAAATAATTATGTAATATGTTATTTGGATAATTTGATAAAACGTGCCTTGAACGCCTTTCTGTTCTGTGTTTTCGTTTCACATCTAGTGTTGAAAATAATAACACCAGGAGATGGAAAATTATGTTCAAGTGAAATTTAGTGCCAATTATGCAGTGCAATATTATATTTGTGAAGAATGACGGTCACCGCAGAATGTTGTTGGTGGTATTAAAATTTTATCATGTATACCATATTTTCCCAGGATATCCTATTTCACAATACATACAGTTATGACTGAACATGGGTTTTTTTTCCAGTATGCATATGGTTGTTCCTTTTTTTAATTTTTTGACATGTAACTGAAGTGCTTAGCTTCAGTGGAAATATCTACAATGTAGGAAACAGAGTCGAAGACTGTTACAGTTCACAGGGGGGCTTCAAAAGTAAAAGTAAATGAAAATGTGAGAAATGTTGTTCTGTGTGCCACTATCAGTACATCAAATACTAGAACCTTTCAAAAGTATTACCATTGTATTATGTTTGAAATTCTGTGGGAAAGTTGAATTTCTTGGTGTACCTACTTGACAAATGTCGCATTCTCTTCCTATAGGCCTGGCAGTTCTCTCAAACCTGATTGGTGTCAGCATAATCCATGGTATCCATTGCCGAATATCTAAACCAGAAAACATATGCTATTTTAAGAAATCTTCATTCTGATTGAGTTTTGTAATTCATACAAAAAAAGAATGTATACACATGTAACATATAGTTCGGTTCATAATTACTGAGAATTGTTCATGTCAGTATGTCTAGTACATGGAGTATCATTCATAGACAGTCTCCTGGCAGCGAGTGTATGTACCCCTACATCCTGTTAACACTCAAGCCGTGTACGTCTAGTACATGGAGTATCATTCATAGACAGTCTCCTGGCAGCGAGTGTATGTACCCCTACATCCTGTTAACACTCTCAAGCCGTTAATGCGTCTTGTACATGGAGTATCATTCATAGACAGTCTCCTGGCAGCGAGTGTATGTACCCCTACATCCTGTTAACACTCAAGCCGTGTATGTCTAGTACATGGAGTATCATTCATAGACAGTCTCCTGGCAGCGAGTGTATGTACCCCTACATCCTGTTAACACTCAAGCCGTGTATGTCTAGTACATGGAGTATCATTCATAGACAGTCTCCTGGCAGCGAGTGTATGTACCCCTACATCCTGTTAACACTCAAGCCGTGTATGCGTCTTGTACATGGAGTATCATTCATAGACAGTCTCCTGGCAGCGAGTGTATGTACCCCTACATCCTGTTAACACTCAAGCCGTGTATGTCTAGTACATGGAGTATCATTCATAGACAGTCTCCTGGCAGCGAGTGTATGTACCCTACATCCTGTTAACACTCAAGCCGTGTATGTCTAGTACATGGAGTATCATTCATAGACAGTCTCCTGGCAGCGAAGTGTATGTACCCCTACATCCTGTTAACACTCAAGCCGTGTATGTCTAGTACATGGAGTATCATTCATAGACAGTCTCCTGGCAGCGAGTGTATGTACCCCTACATCGTGTTAACACTCAAGCCGTGTATGTCTAGTACATGGAGTATCATTCACAGACAGTCTCCTGGCAGCGAGTGTATGTACCCCTACATCCTGTTAACACTCAAGCCGTGTATGTCTAGTACATGGAGTATCATTCATAGACAGTCTCCTGGCAGCGAGTGTATGTACCCCTACATCCTGTTAACACTCAAGCCGTGTATGTCTAGTACATGGAGTATCATTCATAGACAGTCTCCTGGCAGCGAGTGTATGTACCCCTACATCCTGTTAACACTCAAGCCGTGTATGTCTAGTACATGGAGTATCATTCACAGACAGTCTCCTGGCAGCGAGTGTATGTACCCCTACATCGTGTTAACACTCAAGCCGTGTATGTCTAGTACATGGAGTATCATTCATAGACAGTCTCCTGGCAGCGAGTGTATGTACCCTACATCCTGTTAACACTCAAGCCGTGTATGTCTAGTACATGGAGTATCATTCATAGACAGTCTCCTGGCAGCGAGTGTATGTACCCCTACATCCTGTTAACACTCAAGCCGTGTATGTCTAGTACATGGAGTATCATTCATAGACAGTCTCCTGGCAGCGAGTGTATGTACCCCTACATCCTGTTAACACTCAAGCCGTGTATGTCTAGTACATGGAGTATCATTCATAGACAGTCTCCTGGCAGCAGTGTATGTACCCCTACATCGCGTGTTAACACTCAAGCCGTGTATGTCTAGTACATGGAGTATCATTCACAGACAGTCTCCTGGCAGCGAGTGTATGTACCCCTACATCCTGTTAACACTCAAGCCGTGTATGTCTAGTACATGGAGTATCATTCATAGACAGTCTCCTGGCAGCGAGTGTATGTACCCCTACATCCTGTTAACACTCAAGCCGTGTATGTCTAGTACATGGAGTATCATTCATAGACAGTCTCCTGGCAGCGAGTGTATGTACCCCTACATCGTGTTAACACTCAAGCCGTGTATGTCTAGTACATGGAGTATCATTCACAGACAGTCTTACTAGCAGCGAGTGTATGTACCCCTACATCGTGTTAACACTCAAGCCGTGTATGTCTAGTACATGGAGTATCATTCATAGACAGTCTTACTAGCAGCGAGTGTATGTACCCCTACATCGTGTTAACACTCAGAAGCGTGTATGTCTAGTACATGGAGTATCATTCATAGACAGTCTCCTGGCAGCGAAAGTGTATGTACCCCTACATCGTGTTAACACTCAAGCCGTGTATGTCTAGTACATGGAGTATCATTCAGACAGTCTTACTAGCAGCGAGTGTATGTACCCCTACATCGTGTTAACACTCAAGCCGTGTATGTCTAGTACATGGAGTATCATTCATAGACAGTCTTACTAGCAGCGAGTGTATGTACCCCTACATCGTGTTAACACTCGAGCCGTGTATGTCTAGTACATGGAGTATCATTCATAGACAGTCTTACTAGCAGCTTGGCGAGTGTATGTACCCTACATCGTGTTAACACTCAAGCCGTGTATGTCTAGTACATGGAGTATCATTCATAGACAGTCTTACTAGCAGCGAGTGTATGTACCCCTACATCCTGTTAACACTCAAGCCGTGTATGTCTAGTACATGGAGTATCATTCATAGACAGTCTCCTGGCAGCGAGTGTATGTACCCCTACATCCTGTTAACACTCAAGCCGTGTATGTCTAGTACATGGAGTATCATTCATAGACAGTCTCCTGGCAGCGAGTGTATGTACCCCTACATCGTGTTAACACTCAAGCCGTGTATGTCTAGTACATGGAGTATCATTCACAGACAGTCTTACTAGCAGCGAGTGTATGTACCCCTACATCGTGTTAACACTCAAGCCGTGTATGTCTAGTACATGGAGTATCATTCATAGACAGTCTCCTGGCAGCGAAAGTGTATGTACCCCTACATCGTGTTAACACTCAACCCGCGTGTATGTCTAGTACATGGAGTATCATTCACAGACAGTCTTACTAGCAGCGCAGTGTATGTACCCCTACATCGATGTTAACGCCGAGCCGTGTATGTCTAGTACATGGAGTATCATTCACAGACAGTCTTACTAGCAGCGAGTGTATGTACCCCTACATCGTGTTAACACTCAAGCCGTGTATGTCTAGTACATGGAGTATCATTCATAGACAGTCTTACTAGCAGCGCGGTATATGTACCCCTACATCGTGTTAACATTTCGAGCCGTGTATGTCTAGTACATGGAGTATCATTCACAGACAGTCTTACTAGCAGCGAGTGTATGTACCCCTACATCGTGTTAACACTCAAGCCGTGTATGTCTAGTACATGGAGTATCATTCATAGACAGTCTTACTAGCAGCGAGTATATGTACCCCTACATCGTGTTAACGCTCGAGCCGTGTATGTCTAGTACATGGAGTATCATTCACAGACAGTCTTACTAGCAGCGAGTGTATGTACCCCTACATCGTGTTAACACTCAAGCCGTGTATGTCTAGTACATGGAGTATCATTCATAGACAGTCTCCTGGCAGCGAGTGTATGTACCCCTACATCGTGTTAACACTCAACCCGTGTATGTCTAGTACATGGAGTATCATTCACAGACAGTCTTACTAGCAGCGAGTGTATGTACCCCTACATCGTGTTAACGCTCGAGCCGTGTATGTCTAGTACATGGAGTATCATTCACAGACAGTCTTACTAGCAGCGAGTGTATGTACCCCTACATCGTGTTAACACTCAAGCCGTGTATGTCTAGTACATGGAGTATCATTCACAGACAGTCTTACTAGCAGCGAGTGTATGTACCCCTACATCGTGTTAACACTCAAGCCGTGTATGTCTAGTACATGGAGTATCATTCACAGACAGTCTTACTGGCAGCGAGTGTATGTACCCCTACATCCTGTTAACACTCAAGCCGTGTATGTCTAGTACATGGAGTATCATTCACAGACAGTCTTACTAGCAGCGAGTGTATGTACCCTTGCCTCGAATTGACGCTCAAGCCGTGTATGTCTAGTACATAGAGTATCATTCATAGACAGTCTTACTGGCAGCGAGTGTATGTACCCCTACATCGTGTTAACACTCAAGCCGTGTATGTCTAGTACATGGAGTATCATTCACAGACAGTCTTACTAGCAGCGAGTGTATGTACCCCTACATCGTGTTAACACTCAAGCCGTGTATGTCTAGTACATGGAGTATCATTCATAGACAGTCTCCTGGCAGCGAGTGTATGTACCCCTACATCGTGTTAACACTCAAGCCGTGTATGTCTAGTACATGGAGTATCATTCAGACAGTCTTACTAGCAGCGAGTGTATGTACCCCTACATCGTGTTAACACTCAAGCCGTGTATGTCTAGTACATGGAGTATCATTCATAGACAGTCTTACTAGCAGCGAGTGTATGTACCCCTACATCGTGTTAACACTCGAGCCGTGTATGTCTAGTACATGGAGTATCATTCATAGACAGTCTTACTAGCAGCGAGTGTATGTACCCCTACATCGTGTTAACACTCAAGCCGTGTATGTCTAGTACATGGAGTATCATTCATAGACAGTCTTACTAGCAGCGAGTGTATGTACCCCTACATCCTGTTAACACTCAAGCCGTGTATGTCTAGTACATGGAGTATCATTCATAGACAGTCTCCTGGCAGCGAGTGTATGTACCCCTACATCCTGTTAACACTCAAGCGTGTATGTCTAGTACATGGAGTATCATTCATAGACAGTCTCCTGGCAGCGAAAGTGTATGTACCCCTACATCGTGTTAACACTCAAGCCGTGTATGTCTAGTACATGGAGTATCATTCACAGACAGTCTTACTAGCAGCGAGTGTATGTACCCCTACATCGTGTTAACACTCAAGCCGTGTATGTCTAGTACATGGAGTATCATTCATAGACAGTCTCCTGGCAGCGAGTGTATGTACCCCTACATCGTGTTAACACTCAACCCGTGTATGTCTAGTACATGGAGTATCATTCACAGACAGTCTTACTAGCAGCGAGTGTATGTACCCCTACATCGTGTTAGCTATTTCGAGCCGTGTATGTCTAGTACATGGAGTATCATTCACAGACA